TGGGGAAAATGACCAATATGTGCAACTTAAAGACTCTACTAAAATAAAAATGGTCTGTCAAGAACATAGAGGACGTAGGATAGACAATTGGTCAAATCTAGTATAGATCATACATACTGGTAGTTGAAATCGGCGACTCTCCTAGAGTTCCGTCATCTGAGATCTATAGGAAAGAGGATTAAGTTGACCCTTACGAACAACTTGATACACTATCTCCCTTCGACCGTTTGAGCGAAAGGCGGCAAAAGAAAAGAAAGAAAAATTCATAGACCGACTCTAATATCTCCACATGTAGCACTTTGAGATCAGTCCCCAAGAAAAATTCATGCACTTGACTCTAGAATCTCCACATGTCGCACTTCGAGATCACGTACTCAAGGACGCCTTTGACATTTAAGGGTTACATACCGACTATAGAACCATGTTTAATAAGTGGAACACATGGAAATAGAACTATCAAAGTAAAAAATATTATATCTTATAAAATGAGATTATCACGTGTGAATCGGAATTAATTAAGTGGACTTATCTAGTCACATTCAAATACCCCTATCAAGAAGGATGCAGCTGATACTTTTGAAATGATTATAAGGGGTCACTTCCTATTTAACCATCATTTTATGTGATATACCTATGGTATATATGAATTGCAAATGAAACCATTATTTGCTCTTCCTAATTGCCCATCGACCTTATAGGTAGATTTTATTCCGTAAGATTTAATTATATTACAAAAAAAAGAAAAAATTCTTTTCGATACACAAAAAACTTTCGGTTGAAAAATAATTTGATGCATGAAATATTTTGTGTATAAATTATATAGGTAGGATCTAAAGAAATGTCAAACTCTAAGAGAATATGAACTATGAAGTAGACAAGTCACCTGATCACGACACAATGACTATTATTTCACAAGTTCGAATACACCTGAAAGTAAAGTTTAATAAGATGTCCCAATGTTGCATGAACATTACATAAATACTATTTTCTCTGTCTCACTTTATATAACTTATTTTCTTTTCTAATTAGTTTCAAATAAAATAACACATTTTTATATTTGACAATGATATAACTTTAACGTATATATTTTATCCTTGATGAAATAATTTTTAGCCACACAAATATCTATAACTTATTTTAAATCACAAATATCAAAAGTCTTTTTTTTTAAATTAAATTTTATGTCAAGTTAAACTGACTCGTATAAACTGAGACAATAAAAAAGTATATGATATAGCTCCTATGCAGGAGTTCTCATATACACATATCATATATAGGAATGAGGGAAAAAAAAGAACATGGTGTATAATTACTTCCATTATTATATGTTTGAATTCTCTTACAAAGCTTTTTTCAACCAATAAGAGAATTGAATATTATAAATTAATTGATTAGCTGGTAGTTGAAAAATTAAGTATAAGCTTTATATATTAAGCTAATTATTTATTCTCCCATGGTCCAAATGCGTTTAGTGGAATAAATCTTGCTGTTTATAATTAGGAATTAATTTCCAACCGAAAGCTTGATTAGGATAAGTTCAAAGATTACACGAATAATCTAGTGCAAAAAAAAAAGCTAAAATAATATATTACATAATTATCAATTTAATTTTTTATTTTCCCTACATTCTTAAGTTGAGCAAAAAAAAAATATTTATACGTAAAATCTTGTTTAAATACAAGTATAAAAATTAAAAGACCAATAAAAATAACAAAAAAAAGAGTTTTTAATCAAGAAAGCGTGTATAATTTAAATTCATAAATTAATGATTACTAATTATAACCATACTCCATTAGTTGGCTTGTTTAACTTCATGTGAAAATTAGAGTTATTTTAAGTAAAATGATATGATAATTGATAGGTATATCATAACTACATGATCTAAATTAGCACTCATGTTGACAATTTAGCTTGAAATAAGGAAACATGACACGAGGATAATATTTTTTAAAAATTATATATTTTTTAGATTTTAGTACAAGTTTTTTGAAAAAGAATCTCAAGGAAGCAAAATGCTATTAAGATCAAATGTGATTGAAATAGTTAGAGATTATTCTATTGATAGGGAGTTCTTTAATTGCTTTAATAAACTTATTCTATGTGATTCAAAATTAATCGTAATAATAATTTATCTCGATCTTATCTTAATTATCCGATCAGACAATGGTGCTTAGAATTTCATACATATATATATAGTTATGGAGTCACACAAATTATGTTGATATGACATCAACCTTAACTGTCTTGATTTTAAATCTTTTCACAACTTGATTTACCCTTACCGTTACCAATCTCGTTCGTAATAACCAATTCTTCTTGCCACGTATCACTTTTTAATAAATATTTTTAAATCAAATTTTTATCTCATACAAAAATATGGACAAATTAAAGAAAAGGGAAGCCAAGGAGCAAAAACAAAAACATCACTAAGACACTAGAGTACACTTGGATAAAAATATGATTAGACCATTATCAACAGTGTTATAATTTTAATTAATTAGTGACTCTACTATTGTCTTTGCTATTATATATTTGTGTTATTAGGAAATATTATTAGTGTCACAGCTGTAATAAGCAATTATATATAGTCTATAAGGAAAGTTGATTAATTAGTAGTTATTTAATTATTTAATCATTTTTTTCATGTAAGCAAAATCTTGAGAGTCACCAAGATAAAATCCCACATGATATTGATACTGATCATAACAATAGTAAAATGATATAAAACTTTTGATGTATGATGATCAGTTGATACTGATTATAACAATAGTAAAATGATATAATATTTATTTGTATTCGGTATTTATATAATACTAAATAACTTAATTAATTTTAAAATTGAAAGATTTATAACGAGAATACATATCACTTAATTATGCATGCATGGTTAAGAATATAAGTTATTTTTTGTTCGCGTATTGAAAAATATGTGTCTTGCTTAGAGTTGATTGATTCCTTGCAAATTAGAGCGATCTCAAACTGTTATATATCAAAGATGAAGTACAAACAAAAGTTATTAAATTCACAAGAACACAGAAATATATCTCTTATCTTCATTAAATTATTAATTTAGTATAAATATTTAATTTTTTTCCATAATTAAATTAATATTTCCACTTTATACTTTACTTTTTTTTTCTCCCATTACCCATATTGGAAGACAAATCCATAGGAGCCAATCAAAAAAAGATATTAGCTAGAAGGAGCCCATTGTTTATTAAATTATTAAATATTAAAATAATTGAAGCAGCCAAGCCATCACTATATTATTTTTCAAATCAAAATACAACTTCATGGTTGTCTTTTTCTAACATATTAGAAAATAATGATCTTCATGGACCAACAGATTTTCATCTGTCTAATGAAAAAGTCTTTTCATATAGTAGCTCCATTTATATATGTTATTACCTAGCTACTAGGGTATTTGCCTTGTATATATATATTGCCTTCTAGATAATATCAAGTCAAATATTGGACTTATAATCAAGTTTTCTCATACAACTTCATGTTACTTCTAGGCCCTAGCACTTCAAATTTGTTTGATAGATAAAAACATAAATTTATTACATAACTCGATCAGTTGATTCATTATCTGAACTTTCAACTGATTAGCGAAAGGTTAAATTAATAACCAAATGTGTTGAATGTATTTGCTTTAATTAAAAACAACAAATATATGCTACCTAGATACTAGGGTTTTTGCCTTATGTGTTGCCTTCTAGATAGGATCTAAGTAGAATATATATTGGATTCAATTAAGATTATTCTACATGTTACTCCAAGCACTTCAAATCATTAATTTGATAGATAAAATATAACTATACTACATCTTGAAATGCATTCAATGAATTTGATTATCTTTTTTTTAAAAAAAGTTTTTTTAAAAAAAAGGAATCCTATGAAGCTGTATAAGGCAGTATAATTATTGAAATGATGAAAGATATGTTGGAATCTCCAAATTAAAAAAATCCATATAAATTGAAATAAAAGTATAAATATAGTTTACACTTTGTTTTATGTTTTTAATTAATTAAAGTTGTTAAGATTTCACAAATAGGTCAAGGAGAATAAAGTGAGGTTATGTGTACAAAAATTAGGGATGAGAGATTCATTCTTACACTCTAACTTATCAAAGAAATAAAAAGGGGAGGAGGGCCTCATCATATGTCTTATAAGCTTACAAAAAGGAAGTTCTAATATATATATATATATATATATATATATTAACTTGTGAACTCCTTAACAAAATTGATTGACATCACAGTAATAAAAAAGAACAGTTGAAAGTGTTTTTCACACTACTATTGTGGGTTTGAATGCCACCTAAACTCATAATCCTAGCTGAGAGTTATCACGCTTAATTCACCGTCAATTGTTTATATTGTATCAATTGAGGTGAATGGTACCCTTCTTTAATCCCAAGTACTCTAAATATTATGATATTGTACATGTATAATGGTGTCTTGATTTTTATTTCTTACAAAGTAAGCATATCATTATTAAAATGAATTATTAAGTATGTGTTTATGATATAAAATTCTATATAGTTAGGAGAAATACAATTTTCTTCACCACATAATTAATTAAACAATGGTAGTAAATAGTAATTACTCAACTCCTCTTTTTACTAGACAAAGTTCTAGTATTTTTTAACTTCTTGACTATACATACACAAGTTGTTAATTTACTGTGTTCACACTAGCTAGCTACCCTTAGTAGCTAAGAGTCAAATTAAAGTGCTAATTTTGCTAATATTCTTGATAATGAGTGCTAGGATGATGCTAATACAATTATTAAAAAAAGTTAATTATCATTAAAGGCCATATACTTATTGCTAATAGTACAATTAAAGGAAGAAAACAATATGGCGATGGAAGAAAAAGAAGAGCTAAAGCACTTCCCCTTGGACCCCATTTCATGTCTTATCAACTACCCCAATTATTTGTTTTTATTTCTATCTTTTTTTTTCAATTGCAATCCTACTCATCTCTATATAATTTTCCTTTCTCTAAGCTAAAACAATTCATTAAATTAAAACACAAAACAAATCTATTCTCCACCCAATTTATGTTTACTTTTCTTTTTTATTTTTTTTTACAAAATTGTCTTGGTAGTGTTACAAAAAATTATTCCTGGGTAGAAATTAAAACCCCTTCTTGAGAAGATAGGGAAACAATTTCAATCTATGATGTCATCAAGTGAGCAAAAAAGGGAAGTAGGAGGAAGAGAAGGAGAAGGATCATCATCAATGACCTTAACACAATCCGATCATCATCATCAGCTATCACCACCTCCTCAATTGAGTCGTTACGAGTCTCAGAAACGCCGTGATTGGAATACTTTTGGTCAATACTTGAAGAATCACAAACCCCCGGTACCTTTACCTCAGTGCAACTATAATCACGTGTTAGATTTTCTTCGATACCTAGATCAATTTGGAAAAACTAAGGTACATTTAAATGGATGTGTATTTTTTGGACAAGTGGAACAAGTTGGACCATGTACATGTCCACTTAGACAAGCATGGGGAAGTTTAGATGCACTAATTGGAAGGCTTAGAGCTGCTTATGAAGAAAATGGAGGATTACAAGAGACTAATCCATTTGCTAATAGTGCTATTAGAATTTATCTACGTGAGGTAAGAGATTCTCAAGCTAAAGCAAGGGGAATTCCTTATAAGAAGAAGAAAAAAAAGAGGAAAATTCAAATTAATTCTAGTAATAACAATGAGGTAAATTCTACTTGATTTTTCACAAGAGGAAAAAAAAAATGAATGGTAAAATTTATTTCTTTTATAATAAGAAGGTTATTTCAATTTGCTTTTGGAAGATTTGTATATGGTCATAGTTTCAATATTATGAGTATTAAACTATTAATTGACTTAGTTTCATATATAATGTGAAGATGTAAAATAAAATTTAACATTAATTCTGATTAATTATGCTGCTTTCTCTATTAATTCTTAAATATATATTCATTGAATAATTAACACTTGAGTTGAAGTTCGATCCAAAATAACATATTTATCTTCAGAAGATAGAAATAAGTTAAGGTTGATGTTCGTCACTGTAATTTCTTTGAACTCTATTTATGAGATTTCACTGTTTATATTAGTATTGATATTATATATCGGGTTTGAGAGCTTTTTTTGTCCGTCAAATCCGCTCTTAGTCAGCTAACTAAGAATCATAGGAATTTCCCTAGCCCTAAACTAGTGTTTTAGAAACCCTAAAATTTAGACTGTAACTTTGCTCTTCTACTTGAATTTAGGAACAATAGTAATTAGTAGGCAGCCACACAATCCAAGATTTAAACCTAATGGATTTGATTTTCAAGATTTTAGTAATGAATTCATTATATTTTAAAATTATAATTTCAGATCTATTATTTACGATAAGTTAAACAAATTTATATATATAAAAAATTTAAACTCTACATTAGAAATACAGATGAAATCTCATCTATGAATATTACATCACCATTTGTCAGTGACGAAAACAGTATTTTCACCCTCAACGATACCATTAATTTCATGTTGTCACATTAATTAATTGATGAATTAAACATTTTTTTTAAAAGAGTCTGCATGAAATAGACTTACGATATGACAAGTCATTAATTAGTAATAGTAGCAATTATTATGTGTTTAGGCCCCACTACATAAAGAGACTTCTTCATTGAACAAATTTAATTTAGTCATAATCATAGCCATAAATAGAAAATAATCATGTCTTGTGCCCTTGTTAATACTTTTAATCTGTTGAAATTTAATTCACATTGTCCTAAAATTCAAACTTATACAATTGAAATGTCAAAACTATATATGTCATGACATTTAATAAAATCCTAAATTAGAACTTATAAAAGTAAATTCAAAACATGCGAAAAATTCCTAGAGTTCGACGGAGTCCCATTATCCCTAGTTGCGACCATAATTATATTAAATTTAAAATACTAACTAAAACTCGATTAGCGATTAAAAAAATAACTATTCACATATTTCTTTTAATTTTTATTCATCTAAGATTAAATTAATGTTTTTTGATTTATTCACACTCGATATTAATTAGTTGTTTGGTATGATAGTGGATGTTAAACAAATATTGTAATGAGTAAAATATATGAAAAGGTAATTTAGAGGGAGCAATATTAGATTTGGAGATCTTTGTTTATTTGATTTGGTCAACCAGAATCAAAGGTGGCTTATAAACATAAAAAGGATTAATTGGAGATTAGCAATGAGACATGCTGGGCCAAATTAATGGAATAAACATCTGGGAGAATTTTGTCTTTTTATTTTATATTATATTATACTATATAGTATTATTATTTAACATAGTGGTAGTTTGTGGTCACTTACATGATCTATTTTGCTACTTTTCTTATTTGTCAAAAATTGTTAAGTCCTGATAATGTTGCTCGTACTCTCTTAAAATATTTATGTTTTTGTGTTAAATTTTTTAAAAATGTGTTATATATAGAAGGTTCAATATGTACCTGATGACAATTTTGAGGAGTACGAATAATATAAGTAATAGTTGATGTACTGCAACAAAAAAAATTGATATCATTACTAAGGTTTAATCTTGGTGGCTTTTGCTAAAAATTCTTGTAGAATTTCAATCAAAATTTTCACAAGAACTACTTTTTATGTCTTCGTACTTGGAATAAATTATTTTTTACAAATAATTTTATGAATGGTAAAAACCGCGCTAGCTTATTCACATGTTTATGTCTTCATGAAATCTCAGGCAAGGGCAGATGAAGACTTAAAGTTACGGATCAACTCAATAGCTTTTGCCTGAATCCTATATTTCTATCTAAGAATTCACTCAATATCAATACATATTTGATCGTGAACACAGTACAGGAACCAGTAAACTTCAAATTCTGAATCTGCCTCTACTTTCGGGAACATGAAAAGGGCACTGCATTTGCATGATACTTAGAAGCTATGATACAGTATTGATCAATAATTTGCTGCAACTATGGATCACCTTGTCATAAAGCACTGTGTAATTTGAGCTGCTTATGTTCCTGAAGTAGCAGCCTTTGTCGTCGTTGTATTTGTATATCTGTTGTGTGCTCCCGACTCCACTGTCTATCGACTGATCCTTTACAAGCATACACCCCTGCGCGTTCTGCAGATTGTGAACAGAGCTGGCTGAGGATCCATACTTCAACCTCTTTTCATGGAATATCAAAGTCACATTCGAGATAGAAGCATAGCTTTTATCTCCTATCTCAACACCATCAGAGTACAAGTGAAGCTGAAACTTTTTGAAGGATTCAAGAACCTGAACAGAAAAAGACCGCGTCTTAGCATAAACAGTGTCATTAAACTCAATAGTCTTGATCAACAACTTGCTAGTTCGCGTCATTTCCCATCACCATATAGTTACTATAGCTCAAACTCTGAGATGATGTCGTTGTGACTGTTCCATAAGATGATTTTACCCATCCAGTCATTGAGATCGATCTACGAGCATTTGTCACAAAGGAACCATCAAGACCAGTAAAATTACTCGCGAGTGAAAAAGAAAGGGGCAAACTACTATACTCCAACAACTTCCCTTCTGTTTTTACACTCTTTTTATCCAACCAAAGATGCAAATTTGCATCAACATACCACACATTCAAAGCATTTGTAACACTAAACGAAATATTATGAAAACTTCCATCTAAGATCTTCTTTAACAACGGCGTAATTTCAATATCATATGAAGGAAGATCAAATGAGTCAATTCCACTGATAGGTCTCCACAACAGAGGATTGATACCACCAGTATAAATCACAGTAAAAGGCCAAACTGAAGCAACTACACCATCATCCACACTTACTATCACCTCTCTGAAAGCAACCATTTCCCGACGATTATTTGCAGTAATATACTCATTTGGCAAATTTCCATACCAGAACTCATCATTCTCATGAAAAGACACATAAATTTCCAATACAGCCCTGTAAACATTTTGTCATCTGTTGAATTCTCAATCTCAAACCAACAAACCATCATTCAACGGCAAATTACGCGATACGGGTGCGATTAAATCAGCCACAGAATCAAATCCCTTAAAGGGGTTTCTCACTTTTTCAGTAGGATAAAAATGAACAAATATTTCTACATGATAAACCCCAGTATATTTACTATTAACAATGTTCCCAATATAAACAGCAAGTGTTTGATTAGTCAGAAGCAAAGAAGAATACCTAGTGATATCCTTCTTGACAGTCCAAATAACTCCATTTTGGCCTTGGCTCTGCAGTGCAACTCCTGAAAATTTCAACCCCACTAAGCCAAATCCCAAAAATTCTATCAAATTGTCTTCCTTTACTCATTGCTTTCCATTCAAGAATGATTTTGGAGAATTTTTTAGATGGGCAATTTGAAGGGGGTGTGTAATTTGTGAGAATTGGTGTTTTTCCATATGTGTAGGCAAAATCATGTTTGAGGATTAAGTAGGAACAAGATTTGGTTTTGGGTAATTTTATTGGATTTGTGACTTGAAAATAGGCTGTGGGATTGTCAATCTTGGGAGAAATGTCTAGTTGAGTGGTGATATTTGGTCTGATTAGAGCTGTTTTATGGATTGTTGGTGTGAAAAAAAGAGGTACTTGGAGTAATGAGAAACAAATGAAGAAGAAGAAGAAGAAAGACAGCCATTAATGGTGTATGCAAGAGAATGTGTAGTTTTGTTAATAGCTCTTCCTTAGATTGTGGATCCGAGATTTGAAGTTTACAGTGAATTTCTACGTCACATACAGAATCTAAATAAGAGTTATTGAATTCACGTGATCAGGTCTAGATCCGCCCTTAGGAATTGGGAGGAGGAAACAATGTCCTAGTTTGCCTTGTTCTTGGAAATTCACCAAAAATGATGACAGCTTCATTCTAGTATGACAATAAACTAGCATGAAATGATAATCAAATTCTATTGGTTAGGCAAATTTAAATTTAAAAAATATGATAAAATTACAATAATAACTATGGTATGGGACGTTTTACCTCCTTTTTTTTCCTTTGGAAGTTTTGGGAAAAAGGGGAGTTGTTAAAAGCTACAAAACAAATGAAATTTACATTCTGTACAGGTAGCTCAAAGCCCTTTACCTGCAATTTGTTGTATTATTTTGAATTTAATATATAATGTTAACTAAGAGATCGATTCAAGACGAAGAGCAGACCGGAGTCTCCATTCAAAAAGAAAAGTTCCAAAGGTACGTAAGAAGACACAGACATTTCTGATGAGGCGAATCTGTATGTAGGTTGCAAAATCTTGCTACCTTTGGCACATGGAATAGTTAGAAGACGCGGACCAGTCCTCATCTGCCATATCTGCAATGATAAACTCAAGTGTCAAAACAAGCATAATCTCCGATGCATCTTCTGATATACAATAACCTAAAGTTTACACGAACAGTTTTCATCAGATATAGTTTTCACGAGCAACCAACAAATGGCACAGATATGTATTTGTTGTTTTTGCAAATAATTATTATGCAAAAGGATGGTAGTTGTGTGAGTTACTATCAAGGAAGTCTGAGAGCGCATAGTTAAAAATGGGGCTGAAATGAATGAGAAAGATGATACAGCAGAGAGTGCAGCAAACTACCTCAACAATCCCTTTACGCGGTGCATGAATCGCTAGACAGAGGCAATAATCACTTTTCACGTGATCATGGTAAGCAGATCTAGACGTTTCAACGTCTTTCTTAGCAAGCATCTCAACAAAGAGGCAACTTGCATCACGATAACCCTGCAAACCAATATGTTCATTTTATCAGGTGATGAACCTAAGTAGATAGTCTGGGTTTGTTTGCTTTGAATTATTTCATCAGAACTACTCGAAATCATTTGAAAACTCACATTTCCAGTCTATATTGGCATTCAGTTCTTATATGAAAAATCAATTCACTGAAGTAATAATCAAACATTCTTCTACAGAATGTGCACACGTATATTTTCTTCGTCATCCAATGATCACTTATATAACCATAAATAATTTGGATGAACCAAACAAGTTATTATTAATAGGTGAATAGAACAAACCTTCCACAAACGGACAACCACAAGGGCCTGAGTGTCTAAGAGTAAGATACGACCCAGAGAATCAGTTATTGCAGCCAAAGTACCACTAGGTGATAATGTGAGTTTCTCCCCCTTTCTAGGATGATCCTTAAAGCAAGTCAAAGGTGAAGCTGCCAGAAATAGAGAATTTACAATGACAGTATGTCAGCTAATTTGAAATCCAATTAGATATTCAAAGAGTATACAATGAAGTCTGAAGTACAATTATGTAAACATGGAAAAATACAGCACTTTATATTGTTAGATGAACTATTGGGAATTAGACTTCAACTGAATAAGGAGTAAAAGAAGAATCAGCGAAAGATAACTTCAGCAATCTCCACTTCACAATTCTAACATACAACCTCATTGGGAAAGTAACATGTCAGGATCATTCTTTGAGTTTTTCCACTAATCTAGTAACTACAGCATCAACACTTTACCAGGTTCAGTTTACTGACCAACAGTCAGCACAATGTTGCGAAGTATTTTAGCCAAAGCCCAGAGCAAACACAAACAAATTACCATGGTCTGGTCCAATATTGACCATGTTTTCTCAAGCAAAATGCAGAAAGATAATGGAGAGAAGTAATTTAGTTTTCTTGAAAAAGGAGCTTGTCATAAACAAAAGGCAATAAAACATAGTAACATTTTATTCAACCAAGTGACACAAAGGTTGTCCCTACTACTTGTAGTAGACTCTTGGAAGCCAGTGTGGGCACCTGACCTGACACTAGTCGTCGAGTACTGATCTAGAAGTCAGATCTGTCATTACCTAAATCTTAGGATTCACGGATACAGATTGGAATATGGGTACAGACCTTAATGACACAACCAAATGAAGTATATATGACATAGATAAGTAAAATATGTTTCAACAAAGAATTGAAAGTAATAAATTAAAGCTAGTATATTTAAATTCTTTCTAAACAACTTGATAATTTATTTATAGGTTATCTCGTATCAGTACTTTATGTGAATATATATGCAATAAACCAAAGAACCAATCAACCTATACTTCTTGGCCATATTGCAAACTACTTTCCAACTCAAAGATAAACTTGTACAAAGAACACTTCTTTCAGTCATGATCTCTAGATGGAAGTTCAAATAAGCAAAGGAAGGATGACATGATGCTTGGGAGGTGAAAGAAATGAGCATTTTAACATGTAGAAGAAGTGATATGTGATCAACCTCTAGCTATTAAATTAAATAGAGAGAACTGAATAAGAAATTCTTTCAACGATAAAAAAATAGCATATACCTCGAGCAAAAGGCTGAGGCTTTGGTTCTGGTCTTTTTGTAGGAGATGGATCACTTCTCCATAACATTTTTGAGATTGAAGTTATTGTTGAAAAAGTCGCAGGCACAACCTTGGAGAGAATAGCCCCTACTATTGATCTGCTTCGGTCTACAGAAAGTCTTGAAAGTGTAAAGAGAAATCCAATTTAGTAAAACAAAGTAAGAAATGGGAGTGCAGACGGAGACTTTAGTTAAAAAATACTTGAAAAAAGAATCATAGTATAATATACTGCAGACTAACCGATAAGCAGAAATCACAGCGTCAGCTCCAACAGTGATTGCACAATAATAACGCTGACTTGACTGCCCAACAATAAAAGCAGCTGAATTCAAATACCAGAATAACTTCAGAAAATTTCCGGAAGTCATAGGACAAAAAATAGCATTTCATAAGAGCACTAAAAATTCTTTTTGGTGTGTGCAGAACTGTAGGAGAAGGTTTAGGGTTGAGGAAACAACAAATCCCAGTAGAAAAGTATGCCTTGTTTAAAAGTAAGAGAAGAAAGTACTGCAACATGATAGAATGAGAAAATAAAATATTACCTGTAGCTCCAGCAGAGGAGGGGGCATCAGACCAGTGATAGCAGCATCAACACAAGAACCATATTTATTAACATTCCATAGCTGGTATGGAAGCCTCCCAAAAGTATCTGCAGAATTTTCAGATTCTGTCTCATCCCAGAACTGAGAGTGTCTTTCTCTAAACCACCTCTGAAGCATATTCTGCATTTTAATACGGACATTAGCATTTAGCAGTATGACATATGAGAACCTAAACTTCATGGTTCGACATCAAAATGGAGATGTAAAAATTGAAAATTAAATGTCCTCGTATCATAGTTGATTTAGAAAAAAAAATAACATTAATTGTAACTACGAGAAAATTCCAATACCTGAATATCTGATCCATCAAACCGAGCAATAACACCTGACATAACAACACAGACCTCTTCTGATGATGCATCTTGGGTTAGATCTCTCTTGGTATCACGGACTCTCAATCTAAGAATCTTTCCAGGGCTTACTATCTGCCACACAAAAGTTCTGGTAAGTTTGCTAATCATCATATGGCACCACTAAATAAAACAAAAAAAACAATCTTAAACCAAACGCTTATAGGTTCCAAAATATCTAGTTTTACTACATTGCATAATCAGTTAAGATGTTAAACTAAAAGAAAAAGTACATAATGACCATCATCAACAAACTCTTTTGTTTTCTTTGAGAATAACACTAAAAACAAACAACAACATATCCGATGCAATCCTACAAGTGGAGTCTAGAAAGGGTAGCAGGTAGGACAATCTTACACAATTGGGGTGTGGAAGGTAAAGAGGTTGTTCCCGATATAACCTCACCTCAACGACAAATTTATCATAAATGACAAATGAGAAAGCATAAAACTTTTAAATAGCAAAACTAACAGTAGCGTGATCCAGTGACAAATAATAATGTCTAATATAATCCAAGCGCAATGCAACTTCGCTAAAATTCTTTCTGAATGTAAATTCCACAGCTTCATCAATTCCTACAATTACCTAGCTTGCCTAAATCCAATCTTTCCCCTTTAAATAGCTTCTTCACATAACAATCAAATTAACAACTACATTTACTAACTCCACTGCATTTGCTAACTATGAACTGAAAATACGAATACCTGTTTATGAATCAGATCACCACGGAGAGAATAAATCAACAAATACCCACGAGAAGTGCCCAAAGCTAGAACTTTGATATCATCAAACACTAACCACTCGATCGCAGATATATACTCAGCCTCGATCGGAGAGAGATCAGGTACAATCTTCACCCGGTTTCCTACCGGGTCGGATCCTTCGGACCAATGTAGAATGAGAACAAGCGAACGGTTGGCTAATGCAATTGAATGAGTGTCGAGAGCAGTTAGGAGATTAGGGTTGTTTACTAGCCAACCTTCTTTGCCGGCGCCGAGCTCCGACAAATCATCGCAGGCTATGCATCCGAGCTCCGTCGTATGGTTTCGCCGGGCCATTACGGGTCAGATGGAGAAGATTAGAGTAAGATCATCGGAAATTTGTCAAATCCCGGAGAGGGCCCTACACAAATATATATATTCTAATTCTCTTTTCTCTGTTTAATTAAATATACTTTGCTTGTACCAATTTTTTGAACTTATATTAAAAGTGAATAAAAATTAGACAAAGTTACTATGAACCCTATCATATTTACTATAAAGAATTTTGGAATAATATATATTATCATATTTTTATACAAAATAGTACTTCCTCCATTTACAAGACTCTTAAAGAAAATATTGG